CAAGAGATAATGAAGGACTGACCTAAAAGAATCAAAAGGAGGAGGCAGATTGAAGAGTTACTTGAGATGCAGACTAAATACTAGAGCACAACACCCCAATAAAGTAGGTAGGTATCAAAATGAGGCTCTGCTTTCCTATTATTATAATCAGAATGTGTACTGTAAGTAACAGTGATTTTTCAAAAAATTATAATTTAGAGTGAAAGAAAGCTGTTATTCTACTTACAACACTTTTGACATTAAATGTATGGGGTTTTCTTTTATAGCAAGTAATTCTCCAATTCTTTGCAAACGCCAGTTGGGTGTGTCCTACAATTTAATTCCATTCTGACAGTAAACTACCTAGAGTAAGTGTAGCCCCCACAGGTTAGAAGCTCAGTCCCACAAGAATATCCTCCATTTCAGGTGCCAGTTGCAAGGATTGGGTACCCAGGGTGTCCACACTTCTGTTCAACTTGGCTATAAATTAGGAGTTTCAACAATTCCCTTTAGGATGAGCTAATTTGCTATAACCTTAGTCACATTTACAGGTTTTTACAAAGATACAAATAAACAGCTGGATAAAAAGGTAAATAGGGAGAGATCCAGAAGTGTCCTATGTGCAGGAGATTCTGTCCCTGTGGAGTTGGGGTGCACCACCCACCTGGCACAGGGATGCATTTGCAACCCAGAAACTTTCCAAACCTCATAGTTTAGGGATTTGTGTGGAGGCTTCATCACACAGACATTATTAATTATTAACCTAATCTCCCCTTTTTGGAGGATGGGAGATGGGACTGAAAGTTCCAAGCTTCTAATCATGACTTGGGCTTTCCAGTGGCCAGCTCGCACTCTGGAGCTATCCAGTAGCCCACCATGAGTCACATCATTAGAACAAATGACACTCCTATGATCCAGGAAATTCCAAGCTCTAGAATCAGGAGCTCCAGAGTTCTGTGACAGGAACCAGGATCAAAAAACAAATATTAGGACAAAAGATGCTCATAGCACTCTTATCACTCAGGAAATTGTAAGAGTTTTAGGAGCTCAGTATTAGAACCAGTGACAGAGACTAAATACATATTTATTCTTATGTTATCTGCAGTAACTTCCTTTCCTCATGCTGAAAGTACATGTCAATAACCATGCTCTGAGATGGTTGAAAATAATGAAGTAGAAGTAACATATATTTTAAAAGAATAATAAAAGGAAGACAAGAAAAGTGGTGAGTAATGACTTCTGGACTTATGTAACATGTACCCACCACCTGGGTAATAAATTGCATTGGGAAAACTAATCTCACAGGCTGCCAAGTGAGCCAAGAGAAGGGGATCCCTAGATAGTGAGTCACGCATCAAAAAGAACAGGCTGAAGGTAATATATACTTGGTCAAGAACATATTTTATAGGTAGTTCATATTATCCCTCACTCACCACTGTTCTCTGAGGAGTATTTCCTGTACCATTCTGTTTTCCTTTACAGCTTTTTTTTTTTTCTACAGAGCTGTGATTAAGGATTTTCTCAATTTTTAAACTTTGCTTAAACTCTCCTCTGCAAGGCACCCATTTTATAAACAGCCACTGCATTTGATCACATTGTGTTCATCACCTGTCAAACTACTCAACCATGTGTATTTCCTAGAGGCTGTTTATAATTCTCCAAGCCTGAAATGATGATACAAAATGCAAGGCAGTTTCAGTGAAAAGAGAACTAGAGTCAGTCTAATAGGAGAAGAGATATTGGGACATACAAAGTGCATGTGACTAATGTTATAGACTGAATGGTTATGTGCCCTTACAATGTATTTGTTGAATTCCTAACCCCCGATGTGATGCTATTTGGAGGTGGGGCCTTTAGGAGTAATGAGGTTTAGATGAGGTCATGAAGGTGAAGTCCTCAAGAGTGGGATTAGTGAGCTTATAAAAAGAGACATCGGAGACTTTTCTCCCACTCCCCTCTCTTTGTCTCTCTTTCTCCTGTGCAAACACACAGGAAAGGCCATGTGAGGATGCAGCAAGAAGGCTGCCGTCTGCAAATCAGTGAGAGCCCTTACCAGATTCACTGTGTTGGCACCCTGGTCTCAAACTTCCAGCCTCTAGGACTGTGAAAAATAAATGTCTGTTGTTTAAGACAGCCGGTCTGTGGTATTTTGTTATGGCAGCCTGAGCTGACTAATACAACCAGAGTCTGAGAACCTGAATTGATATCATCATTTTGCTACTAATTTTGTGATATGCAATAGAATGCTTTGCCACTCTGATCCCCAATTTGTTTGCCTGTAAAAAGAGAGGTTGGAACACATTCTGGTGGAGGAGAGTCACTTTATAGTAGAGATGGTGGCATTTTTTCACTTCCTTGGGTTTGGCAGACATTACTATTCAATCACAGGATTCTTTCCCATTGGGTTCAGATGTGGCCTCGAAGGCTTCTCATTGCAGTTAGTACTAAATGCAAGCATCCACAGTACTAAATGAAACTGAGTAAATGTGAAGGAGGCAATGTAATACCAGTCAAGGTATATATAATCTAAAGTTCTGGCTCTAACAGTCCAAAACCATTATATGAATTATTTCATATATCCATTTACTAGACAAATACTAAGTCTATTCCGGATGTACAAGTCAATGTGGTAAGCACCTTGAAGGATTCAGGAAGGAATTGGACAAGCTCTTACCTCAAGGGACCTAGAGGCTAGTAGATGTGATGATGCCTAAACATGCATTTATACAAAACAAGGTGGACAGTGATAATGGTCATGAATGATGTTCAGAAATGAAATGGAATGTGTAGGAGTAGGGTAAGAGCGGTTCACTAAGATATTTGGTCTCTTATGGCACCAACAATTAAAAACTTGGGTCACATGACTGTTCTGAAATTGTAAGACGGATATAATTTCTGGCCTACTGCATATATTCTAGCTACACCTGTAGATAGATGGCAGTCAAATCATGCTGAGCCTTGTTTTTTTTTTTTTTTTTTTTCCTTCAGCGAATGCCTTTTTCAATCTCTTTTTACATCACCTGTGGACATCTGCATGCCAAAGGTGAAGCTTCTGCCAGGTCTGTGTTACCAATCAAATAAAATAACTCAAGGCTAGGCTAGACGGATAAGCAATCACAAGTGTACAGAAAAAAGCAGCCTAGCCCTAAACACCAGGGAATTGGGTCAATAAAGAAAACTGAATTGGAAGATTTGTAATAGAAAAGCAGTGGTAACAATTTCACATCATATTACTCAGCATAGGCTTGGGAGGAAACCTACTGTTCTCTGGAAGTCAAGTTCCCTTTTCCTATATTTAAATTGAGATTTTTCACTGTATTTTTGGCCATCATTTATCTTTGTCCTTGGCAATATTCACTTTTGATGTTACGGTGTTAATTATTTCTCATTATTTATTGTTGGGTTTGTTGAAAGAGCAGGCATTTTTCAAAACCTCAATTGCTAAATTTGCCTTTTTAACCAAATTTCAGTCCATGGAGACCACAAAAAAAGCAAGTGTACACAGGCGTGGCTAATTCCACATATGCAGTATCACTAATTTTTTTTTCTAATACAATTAAAATGTAAACTTTTAACAAATATAATTGCATTATCCACTTCTGCAAATTCCAAAGAGTTAAAGTCCTTGCTAATCCTAAAAGCCTTAATACATGAATGTACAATGTTTTTGAATATAAAAATCTCCTTTTGGGGGAAAGGGTTATAAGAGGTGGTGCCTTGTAAGAAGTCTTTCAGTTCATTCTAGAAAGGAGGAGGGGAGAAGTCTTAAATGAAGAAATGCAAACATTCCCTTCCAGTTCTGAGGGTGCAGACCAGCCATTGAATTCATAAAGACTTCAGTCCTCTCTACCCTTGAGGTGGGTATATGGTTTTTCAGTTGCTATTTATCATTGCTTGACTATTTGCTTGCATAATTGGGTCATTATTAAGGATTTTGCATGTATGTATTTGTAGGGGGTGTGAATAAATGGTATTTAAATAGAAAAAAAGAGTAAGTTTTGGCGGGGGTGGTGGGTGTGCAAAATTTAATAAAGATAGTGTTGTCCTCCAAGGAAGGCGGTACAGTGTGGGGCTTTTGAGGTGTGGCCCACCATAGGAGGCACAGGAACTGCACAGGAAAGAATAGACTGCCCAACCAACCATACAGACTTCTTGTTTCACAGAAGAGCAGTACAAAGGGTCCCTGCCATCCATGTGCCCAGGAGAGACTGGCGCAGTAGGGGCAGAGCCAGCTTCTTGGGCATCTGACCTGTATGACTTCACACACACTGTGTATAAAAAGACCCACGTAATAATTTATGAACAAGAGGTCCTGCATTTGCATTTTTCCCTTGGCCTCACAAATTACCTAGCAAATTTTGGGTAGGGGCAATGCTGGATCCCTGCTGTGACACTTCAGACCACCACAGCCTCCCTGTGAAAACTATGACAACCAAAAATGAAACCCAGACACCTGCTGGGCTAGAGGAGGGAAACTACTGAACTTATGCTTGGAGAATAACACCAGGACTCTGGAGAGCGGGAAATGAAGCCTTTGTGGCCTGACACCATGGGCCTATAACTGTGTACATAAAGACGCTATGTTTTGTACAAAAGATCAAATAAAAACAGAGCCTATAGAGAATGATTTTTGTACAGCAGGCACAAACTTTAATTATTTCATCCTCATTGGCTTCCATAGCTCAAAGGAACGTAAGGCAGGGGGTGAAGGTGTCAAAAGAAAAAAAAGTATGTATGGATAGAACTGGTGTGGGCTACAAAAAACATACTTCATTACACATCAGGCAGTTTCTTTGAGTTGCTTGGCTCCGAAAGGAAGGTTTTCACTTTAAGGGAAAAATTGACCATTGGAATTTATCAGTGGGAAGTCTATGAATGGTAAAAACAACAACAACAAAGGCTTCTTGCAAGTCATTCTATGGGATAAAATAGGTAAAAATCCTCACGTTGGGCCATTTGCTAGGACACATGGAGGTACTACCTGTTTTGCTGTCATTGCTCCTAATTGGCTTCATTTCTCAACTTCTCTTTTCCTCTTAGGTCACATGAAATAGACCTTTATAGATGGGAAGACTTCTTTTCTATCTGCATTTGGGCAGAGGGAAGGTAAAGGAATCATACTGTCAAGGGCAGTTTATCTTACCTCTTTTTTTTTTTTTTTCTTTTAACCCTTTTATTAAAAAAAAAAAAAAATGGGACCAGGCGACTTCAGAAGGGCTGCTGAGTTTGGCAGCCGCTTAACCATTGAGAAAGGGGCTCCATCCGCACTGTAAAAGGTCTCCAGCCAGCTCGACCAAGCTGCACTCCTCCCACAGCTACTTTCAGGCTGTCTTTCCCATTCAGAAAGCTAAATTAGAAGTTAAGAGGCGTCAGTTTTGCTTTTCACACTGCAAATAAAAGATGAAAGAGCTCTATCTCCCAGGAAATATTCACGAAAGAAAAACACCTAAGTGGGATGCAGAGTAGTGAAATAACTTGCATTTGGATTTGACTTTGCCAGTCAATCTGTAAGCCCCAATATTTAAGTTATTCTAAATTAAAGATTTTTTTTTTCTTTTCCTGAAAGTTTCTCAAAATGGCCAAAGTGAAACAGGTCATTTTTTCTCCTAAGTAATTTTGAGAGAGTAGTTGGAGTATGTGAAGCCAGCTGTGAAAATCGGGTTTGCGTTGACACTAATGTCTGAAGATATGAAACATTTCCATATTTAAACATGTACCTACGAATCTCTTTTCCAATGATAAGTAAACCTTGGTAACATCAGCCATCTCAGTGGCTCAATTCTAACAACCTTCTGAACACTTCTTAAAGTGATTTTCATAAATACATAGAATTTACTTTTTTTCTCTTCTCTGAGAATTTAATCTCTTGTGCTGTCTTTCGTTTTCTTCCATATGCAACTAACATATATGTAAATATATTATATCCTATATTAAGCAATAAACACTCCCATCACAAAAATCACATTTATTTTCCCTTTTGTATTCTTCATACTGTTTGGTGCAGTGTTTTGCATGTAGTAGGTGAATTAATCAATATTTGTTAAATGACTGAAAGTAACAAAGCCTAAAATGTATTAAGATTATATCTGTCTCTAGGAACTAAATAATAACAATGACCTTTTAAATTATATAGTGTTTAATGTGATCAACGCACTGTGTTTTTCATTTATATAATATTCACAAGTTGTTATTACTAGTAACTCAATGTTACAAAGGGGAAGAGTGAGGTACAGGAATTAAATACTTTATTCATGCTTACAGAGGGGCAGAGGAAGGATTTGAACCAACGCAGTCTTCAGTCTGTATTCTCAATTACTATGCTACATGTAGCTTTTCTAACACATAATATTTATTGTGTCATTAATTGTTGTAAGTACATTACATGCACTATCTCATTTATATCATGAAATCTATTAACAGATGCTGACTACATGCCAGGATGGCATAGATTAGCACATTCATTGGACTTTATACCAAACATAGACAAAGTGTTTCATACTTCCAGGGATTTGTGCTAATGCAGTGATTATCAAACTGTGGAAATGGAACCCCTGGAGGTTCTTAATACCTTTTTAGAATATATGTATAATCAAAGTTCTTCTTGGTATCAAAGTAAATATTTTGCACTATTTTTTCCCTTCACATATTTTAGAAACACCTTTTTTAAATAAATGATTTCACTGTGGAAGAAATAAAAATCTGTAAGTGTAAAAACTACTGACAGTAAATAGAAAATTTTTCAAAAATTATGAAACTCCTTAATCCAACACTTTTAAGGAGAAGGAATTTTAAGGTACCTGAATCAAATAGGATGTATTCTATTAACTTCTGAACCATCTGAAATTTCTTATTAGCTAAAAATTTTATAAGCAATAATTATTCCACAAATTTTAGAAATAATTCTTTATTGTCTAACTGCTCTTAACAGAATGAGGAGACTTATGCATATATATCTTATTTTTTACTATTTCTTGTAGTTAGAACTGTTTACTCCTCTAATACATGCCAAATGTACATTAATGTAATGCTAAAATGAGTACAACTTGTTCCTAATGCTATAAACACAGCCAAAATATTTTTATATATTTGAATTAATTTTATATCCTCTTAGGATTCCCTAATTTGGACTTCTAGTAGAAAATACCAGTAGTGAAAATGTTCTAGTAAATAATGCATTATTTCATAAGCTTTGCCCATTCAAATATATACTTAATGCCTAAGCTATATAAGTTTTATTCAGACCATATTTAGCTATCCAAAACATTTCCTAGGATAATCAAATAGTTATTATTTATTTTCAGATGTCCATATTGAGAGCCATTACTGTATTTCAGTGTAATCAATATGTTATGGTAGTGTACCAGAACTAGTAGCAAATTTGGGCTTCAGTTTGTTTAGTACTTTTATATAAATTTTTTGTGTCCTTCAAATATGGCCTATTATGAAAACAAATACCTGACCTTCATAGACAAATATCCACAATTAAGTTAAAGAGAGGCATTTTTATGATACATACCAATCTCAAAGAACATTCTTCTCAATAAAACATCATTACAATTCTTGGTAACAGGTAGGACCAATAATAATGAAACTGCCCATCCTGTCATATGAGCATTACCTTCACTGTAATTTCTGGGTTAGAACTACATTCAATGACATATACAACTTCTTCTGTTATACTTTTACAGTGTTCATTTGGAAAAATTACCAAACTACCAATTGTAAAACATTAAAAGTGTGCAGGGAAGATTCTAGGATGACCCCCAATGATCCAGCCTCCTGGTATTAATATCCCTGTTAAATCCCTTGTTCTTGAGTGAAGGTGGAACCTGTGCTTTATTTCTAACCAACAAAACAACAACAAAAAAAATCACTTCCATGACCAGGTACATAAGATTATACCTTCCACCTTGTGAGAGAATATCTCTACTACCTACTCAACTTGCACACTGTAATGAAGCAAGCAACTGTGTAGGAAAGGCCTTAATTGCAAGGAACTGAAAATGGCCTTCAGCTACTAGCCAGCTAGGAATGGAGGCCCTCAATCCAACAATCAGTAACTGAGTTCTACCAACAACCACTTGAGTTTGAAAGCAGGGCCTTCCCCAGTTGAGTCATCACATGACAACCCAGTCATGGGTGACTCCTGGATTGTAGCTTTCAGATGAGAACTTGAAGCAGAAACTCAGATGAGCTGTGTCCAGACTACTGACTCACAGAAAAGGTGACATAATAAATGTGTTTTTATAAGCCACTATGATTGTGGTAATATTACTATACAGCAACAGAAAATCAATGCAGTGTTTCAGACTAGAGTTCTCTTGGAAGGTTGCCAGAAATGGAATAAGGGATTTGAATACAAAAAGTACTCTCTTTATAAGATGTAAAAACCATTTAAATAAACATGGAGGAATATGTCCAGAATGTGCAGAAAATAAGTAATGCTGAGGATTACAAAAATATGAAATCTAGTTGTGTATTGTACAATCAATAGAATATTGGTCTTTGTGAAATACTTTGGTACTTAACTAACACTGAAAAAAAAATATGGTCATGGCCAAGAGCCTGATTACCTGGTCTCTAATCAATCCATTTCTTTTTAAATTTAAAATTTTAGTTGTATGTTTTTCATACAATGAAAATTACTAATTGATTAATAATAGGTATTAAGCCATAGTATGTATTCGAATGCCATTGTCTTTTCACAGAAGAGTTTGAACCATGGTAGCTTCAGATTCACAGGTGCCTTTTATTTTACCATATTTATATTTTTTCTGACAATAATTTTGGTGTTAGAATGAATTCTGTTTTTTGAAAACTGTAAATTTCAATAGGAATTCAGTAGCATTATACATTGCCTTTAAAATCTTTTATCTTTGTATACAGGACACTTCATCTTGGCCTTTTAAAAAGATCACAACATTAGCACACACATGAAGATAAGAAGAAAAGAGGCCATGCCTGTGGAATTATACCAACGCTTTTCAGTAAGTTAACAATACAGTTAAAATTTTTTAAACAATAATCACCTGAGACAATACATTTTATGCATTCAATCTGGACTTTTATAGAGCTGGTCTTTTGATAAATCTGTTGAAAAGATATAGAATAGACCTCTCTAGGATTACTTTTTTCAAAGAAGAAATTAAATTGTTCATGCAACACCATTATGCATGCAAGAAAAAATATTCATAGATGCATGATAAACATTTTGATTGTATGACACTTTTATAGCTGGAACTGAAATATAATTTTATATCACAAGCATTCAGGCATGTTTCATCAATTTTCGGTTCTTTTACTCACATGAAATGTGTGGAATATGGTACAACTATAGGCATACTTTGTATATGAGTTACATTTCTGCAGCTAAAAATTAAAAAAAAAACTAAGGAAAAGGAGAATAGAATGTGAGCAAATGATTGCCTTTTTCTTTTTTTTTCTTTCTTTTTTTTTTTTTGAGACGGAGTCTTGCTCTGTCACCCAGGCTGGAGTGCAGTGGCCGGATCTCAGCTCACTGCAAGCTCCGCCTCCCGGGTTCATGCCATTCTCCTGCCTCAGCCTCCCGAGTAGCTGGGACTACAGGCGCCCGCCACCGCGCCCGGCTAGTTTTTTTGTATTTTTAGTAGAGACGGGGTTTCACCGTGTTAGCCAGGATGGTCTCAATCTCCTGACCTCGTGATCCGCCCGCCTCGGCCTCCCAAAGTGCTGGGATTACAGGCTTGAGCCACCGCGCCCGGCCTGCCTTTTTCTTAATACAGAATGCTGATTAATGCTATCAGTTAAACCAAGAGAATACTCACTATAACTACATGTTTGTCATCTTTTCTTAGGATGATATTACTATTTTGAATTACAGTGGACTTAACAAGACTTGCTCAATATAAACTACCAAGTAACTATAGTTCTATATTAATTTCAGAGAACAGTATCCTCACCTCCATGATTCACTTTCTAGGGCTCTGTGGAAAGTCCGCTACCTGGAGTACCTCGTTGAAATCTGGAGAACAAAGATGCTCATCAGATTCCAATTCTAGTGGAGAAATAAAATTACTAAAAGTTCATACACAGGGATGTTGAGCTAGTTTTATTTGTCTCCCTTGGATATTGGTACAAAACAGTGAGTAGATTCTTCTACAATTTCTGAATGAGATGTTTAGAAGAGTAGCTGAAAATAGTTAAGAAAATATTAGTAGAATGAATGAATTTAAAAATACCTTGAAATTACTCAATATATATTGAATGCCTAGAAAGAATAAAGCTTTGAAAAGCAGAACGATTAAGAAAAAAAGCACAGTTGTTGAACAAAATGAGATGTTCTGTGATGAGCATATGAGGATAGGGGTTTGGCAGTGATGTTGTCACGGTGATGATAGGCAGAGGAGGTATTTTATGATGGAGTGTATGGAAAGAAAAAATGTGTGGCATAGATACACATTGCATATTCTAGTCAGTAGTTTTTGGTAAATGTTATCGCTGTTTTGATTCCTTATGAAGAACAAGCCTGACAGAGCAGAATAAAATGCTCTGAAATATCAATTTTCCACACCCATGAATAACCTAGCTGTGTAAGCCATGAGTCATTAACACACAAACCAGTCCCAAGGGATATACCCTATGTGCAGGGCACATACCTCCATAGAAACAGGTCACCTTTCCAACTGGAAACTGCATAAATGTAATACCTGGAGACACACATACACACAAATACAAATAGGTATCCATAATATTGTGTCTCAACAAGATACACCCTCAAAATTAAGGTGTTTGTGTTATTCGGCTCATTAAAAATACACAAACAAAGACAAATGCTCTATTTGTTTTGCCACCTTTGCTACTCAGTTTTATGTAAAACAGGATGAAATAACAACAACAAAAAAAAAACCCCTAAGTTTTGGAATAATAAGCAGCTTGCATAATTTGATGATACATGCATAATCACAATATCTGAGAAGTTATTTCCTTTTTCTATGACCTTTATAGAGAGAGAGCATCCTCAGGATTTTTCCCCCTTCATGGGATGTGAGTTAGTGAGTGTGTAGGGGAGAATGTGCTTTATTCATTGTGCATCTCTAGAGAAAATCAGGTCACCTTCAATGATCTTATCAGTCAAAGAAAATAGTACTGCTTCACAGAGCTATTAAAATGGAAGAGAATTAGAATGTATAAAAAGCTTTCAGATGCCAGGATCAAAGGGAAAAAAGGTCATAGACTAGGCAGGCACTGTTGCCTTTGCTGAAATTCACGATTTTGATTAACATGAAGTTGTAAATGACTATAACATTGTAAGCAGTCGTAATAAAATAAAGTAAGAAACCAAGGCCAAGGACACTACAAAAACGCAAAGAAAAAATTTAAAAAAAGATTAGAACAAGTGAGTAAGAAACTAGAAGAGAATTATAATAATATGCTCTTGGATCATTTGTTTATAATTCACAAAGCACTTTATCATATAACAGGGAATTTAACTCTAGCAAATGAGGGAGGCATTGTTATCCATACTTCACAGAGGTGGAGGCCAAGGCTTAAACAATAAAAATTTGTGCATGTGCAAGGGACTGAGAGGCAGCAGAGCTACTGTTCACTCCCAAACCTCTTATACAATCAACAGAATGCTGTAAGATCTCCATAAATATTGGTGAAATGAATAAGCTTGCATTTAAGCCTGTTTTCCAAAATTCCATGTCTAATGCTCTTTCCAATTAGCTGATGAGTGATGAATTTATGTAAAAGCATTTCTATTCTGACAGATATATAGATAAAATAAAAATTTCTATGCTGACAGATAAGTAGATAAAATATTTAGTAAACCTGGATTTTAAAATAGAGTTAGCAGGATTAGTATCTTAAGGTAACAATGTCAAACTAGAAAGGGAAAAAAATGGATTCATCTATTTTGGTGGGAACTAATAAGAAGAATAATACAGTCATTCAGCAAATTATGTCCTAATTACGTTCAAGGTAATTAATTGAGCACTGTCTGTGTGTCAACACAGAAATGGAAAGGAAAGTATTATGAATACCCATACCCACTGCATCTTGATTCATTAATTCTTGATGCATTGCCGCATTTGTGCTCTTTCTTTATATATCTTTCTCTCACCGTCTCTCTCCTTATCCTTCTCTTTCATTTACTCTTTCTCTTTCTTTTCATTTTTTTGCTGAACTATTTGAAATTAAGTTTCAGAGACTTCCAATTTCTGCTTGGGATGAACAAAGCTGGAATAAAAAAGTATTATGCCCACTCTCAGCATTAAAAAAGAATTGGACAAATTGCAAATTCATAACTTTTCTTGAACTAGTCAGAGAGCTGTGATTGCAGAAGTACCAACTAACTTAAAACCTAAAAAAAGATATGTGCCTATGGGGAGACAGGGTAAGCTAGCATTTGCTCACCTGGTAACAAATTAGTAAAGAAGGAATGTGGTTCAGTTGGCTGCAGGCATAAAACAAATTTTAACTGGCTTGTAGATTCTCACTGTAGAAAATCTTGGGGCAAGAGATAAAAGAGAAATTTGCACTTAGAATAGGCTCTTTCCTTGGGCCTCACCAGAAGCTCATGCACACAAAAAAATGACTGTGGTAAAATCCTCATTGTACAAAACATGGGGAGGAGAACAGCAGCCACTGCAGGAAAAGCAAGAGGTCCTGCTTGTATCCCACCCTCCCCTAATTCTCCTTGGGAGAAAAACTTTAAACTGCAGGAGAAAGTGTCTTAGGGAACTAGGGAACAGCCATTGCAGCTAGAGATTGGAAGCATTAAAAATAAAACTCTACTCCCTTCCCAGAATTACAGCTGTGGGAAACACTGGAATCCTGAGGCAGCCACCTTCCTGAAACCTAAGGACTTAATTTGCCTAAAACCAAGGCTTAATTAGAACAACAATGTCCCTCTTACCACCACACTCCCAGGCTGAAAAGCCTTGAGTGACATCTAACAGTGATTAAGAGCTTCGAGAGTTACCAAAGTGTGTAGGTAGAGACTCCAAGATTGATATAGTTTGGATATTTTGTCACATCCCAATCTCACGTTGAAATATGACCGTTAGTGTTGGAGCTGGGCCTCATGGGAAGAGTCTGGGTTATGGGGGCAGATCCCTCATGAATGGCTTGTTGCTGTCCTTGTGGTAATGAGTAAGTTCTCACTCAATGAGTTTATGCAAAATTTGGTTGTTTAAAAAAAGCCTGATACCTCCCTCATCTCGTTCTTGCTCCCTCTTCCGCCATGTGATGCTCCTGCTCCCATTTTGCCTTCTCCTATGAGTGGAAGTGTCCTGAGACTCTCACCAGAAGATGTTGGCACCATGCTTCTTGTACAGCCTGCAGAACCATGAGCCAAAATAGGTTTCTTTTCTTTATAAATTGCACAGCCTCAGGATTTCCTTTTACACAGGAATGCAATGCAAATGGACTAACAGACAGTTGCAGTGTGAAGAGATGACCCTAAAGATGGGAGTGAAGCAGACTACTCTCTGGCAGACCAATTCTCACTCTAAACACAAGTATAACCAAAGGAAGTGGAAGTCTGTAGTAGAGTGCAAACATAACAAGCCCAAACCCAGCACAACTCCTGACTATATTGCTCAAACTTCCACACTAAAGACCTACCAGAAGTAAAAACATGCCTATTCCTAGGTTTAGAAACGATTTAGTCTCTACTCTTTCAGACAAAATGTTGAGCTTCAGCAAAAAGTTATTAAGTGTATGAGAAAACAGTGGGGGGAAAGAAACTACCAAGAGACCAAGCAATCAACAGAATCAGATTGGATATGACACAGGTATTGGAGCTATCACATAGAGAATTTGAAATAACTCTAATTCATATATTGAAGCTCTACTGGAAAACACAGACAATATGCATCATCAGCAGGCTAATTTCAATAGATAGATGGAAAAATCAAGTAGAAATCTAGAAATAGAAAACATAGTAGCAGTGATGAAGAAACCTTCATCTTATCAGTAGACTTGACATATCAAAGGAAAGATTTGGTAGACTTGAAGATGTCATGAAGGAATTCCTGAACTAAAACACAAAGAGAGAAAGAGTGAACAAAGCAGAACAAAGCATCTCAGAGTTGAGTGTGATTGGAATACCAGAACAATAAAGTAAGAAAAGGGCAGGGGAGGCCAGGCACGGTGGCTCACGCCTGTATTCCCAGCACTTTGGGAGACTGAGGTGGTTGGATCATTTGAGGTTAGGAGTTCAAAATCAGCCTGGCCAACATGGTGAAACCTCACCTGTACTAAAAATACAAAAAATAACAGGGTATGGTGGTTGGTGCCTGTAATTCCAGCTATTAGGGAGGCTGAGGCAGGAGAATTGCTTGAATCCAAGAGGCGGAGGTTGCAGTGAGCTGAAATTGCACCAGCCTGGGTGACAGAGGGAGACTTTGTCTCAAAAAAAAAAAAAAAAAAAAAAAGGAAAGGAAAGGGGCAGGGGGAGTTTAAGAAACTCAGTGAACACCAATCAAGACAGAAGTCATCTTCAAATAGAAGTATCAAGACATACAGAAAATCTTACCGATAAAGAAAAAAATTATATACATATATACAGAAAAATAAAACAAATTAAAGAATATTTCCCTTCAGAAATTGTGCATGTAAGAAGAAAACATAGTGATATCTTTACAGTGCTAAAAAGAAAATAAAATTGTCTACCCACAATTCTATATCCAGTGAAAATAACTTTCAAAACTTATGGAGAAATGAAGGTTTTCTTAGGTAAATAAAAATTCAGAGATCACATTGTCAGCAGAGCTGAATTTAAAATACATTTTAAAAATTTCTTCAGGGAGAAAAAAGGTGATGCTAGATAGAATCTGGACGCTAGACAAGGAAATTAAGAGTTCTACAAATGGAATAAATGAAAACAAAAATACAATTTAAATTTCTTACTTTTAATTGCTTTGAAAGTAAGTTGCAGAGTATCACATTTCATCCCTAAATTCCGCAGCATTATTTTCTGAGAAAAAGACTATTCTCTTTCAATAATCATAACAGCATCACACTTGAGAAAATTAATGTAGACACAATACTTCATTATAGACCATGTTCAAGTTTATTCAACAACCCCCCCAAAAATCTTTTATATCTGATTTTGCTTTTTAATATCAAACCAACATTATGTTTATTGTGCAATCTCTAGCTTCTTTTAATTAGAACATTTTTTCCCACATTTTTTACTTTTATCACATTGACATTCTTGAAGA